GGTCATTTAACTCAGTGATCAGTGTTAGTTGTAAACAGTCAGTTATAAGAATTGTTTTCTGATAAAAATACTTTTAATATCAGAAGGGGTTCTTGTGGATATTATAGTAATTTCAATAGTTGAGATCATTAGTCGATTAAAGCTAGACCATCATGGAAAACCTGGAAGCACTAGACGGCCGTTTTGTCGTATTGTGGGACTCCTCTGCTGATATTAATAAACATTTGCTAACTAGTGACCGGCTTCAAGACGTATTTCTTAGAGTTTTAGTGAGAAGCAGTGACCAGTGGGATTCAACTAGGTCTTTTGTGAGTTAGTAACTCACTGAAGGCAATGGTGGATGTGTCGCTCAATTTCATCGATGAGTTGAAGTTGAACATTAACACTGTTGGATATCGGCCAGCTCAGTGGTCTAGTGGTTAATTGTTCGCGCGCGAGACCGATAGGTTCTGGTTCTGAATCTCACGAGGCGGGTTCGTGGATGTATATTACTGGGGAGTCCCACGATAGGAGAAAACGACCGTTCAGTGCTTTCAGGTTTTCCACGGTGGTCTTGCTTCAATTAACTCATGATCTCAACTATTTGAAAAATACTTTTCTTTATCTTCAGAGCTGAATTGTAATAAATACACAGAATATGAAGTAGATTGTAAGATATTGAACTATATTTAAAATTTCTCCTCAGCTTGTGTTGAATAGTTTAGGCTTTTAATTAGAGTTAACAGTTGTTTATTTTCCATTTGTACAATCTAATTAAATTAGTTAACTTCATGTATAATCTAGACAAGTACTGACCGGATAAGTCATGTAAATCTAAAGACTTACACATTTATAATCTTTTTCAATATTTGATAATCATGCATCATGACTAAATATTATACTCAAATGTATGAATGTAAAATTTATACACATGAAGCCTGACATCATGCATTAAAAGTTACCCCATTAAACGTTTAATTACAGATAAAACTTAAGAATATGATAACTTTTCATCACTTTGAAAAAATGATGCGATTCATAATTACGTTCACCATTCCAAGCTTAATAACGAAACAACAATGGTATATTTGTTATATTAGCTTATGATAATAACATAGTGTCAAGTTGAAATATGCCTCAATATCTTATTGATCATTTAACTTCATTATAATTAGTCTTTAATTTGTAATAAATACTTGATTGATTCTATCAAATACGTTGATTAAATATACTTGATAAACTTATGAATTCATAAGTCATGATCATTTAATGGGTAAGATGATGATTCATATATTGTATACATAAGATTTTGATCGACTGGATTATGAAGACCTCTATATCTGATGGAAGAGCACGGAATATAATGGACAGCTTGGAATCAATCAGAAGATTTGGACTTCGTAGATGACCTGGCCCTTCTATCCCATACACTCAAACAAATGCAAATGAAGATAACCAGTTTAGCGGAAGCCTTTGCAGCAGTTGGCCTCAACTTACACAAATAAACAATCAAGATCCTCAAAATACAACATGGCGAACACTAACCAAATCACACTTGGTGAAAAATCTCTGGAAGATGTGGGATCCTTCACGTAAGGACAGGATTGGCAAAGCAAAAACAGCATTTCTACACTTTAAAAACATATAGAACTCGGAACAACTGTCAACCAATATCAAAGTCGCAATCTTCAATACGAACGTCCAAACAGTTCAACTGTACGGTGCTGAAACTTGTAGAACTACTATAACCAACATCAAAAGTGTACAAGTATTTATAAACAGTTGTCTACGCAAGATACTCAACATTCATTGGCCGGATACCATCAGCAACATCATTTTGTGTGAGGGAACAAACCAGATTCCAACTGAAGAGGAAATTAGAAAATGACGTTGGGAGCGGATAGTACATGCATTACGCAAATTATCAAACTGCACCACGCGGCAAGTCATAACTTGAAGTTCTTAAGAGAAACGGAAAAGAGGTAGGCTGAATAACACAGTACGTCGGGAATTGGAAGCACATATGAAAAGGATGAATAGGAACCAGAAATAGCTATAAAGGACTGCCCAGGACACGGTTGAATGAAGAGTGCTGGAGGGTGGCCTATGCTCCTCCAAGAGGGATAACAGGCGAAAGAAATGAAGTGTATATAATATTTTCAGTATAGAGCCGATCATGCATATTACCATATACATTGAATAATACAAAGTAATGCTCGTTGATACTACTGATTACTTCGAATAGAAATTCCATTATCATATATAAAATTTCTATTTATCGTTATGTATTGTTCAATTTGTTAAATACAATAGTTGATTGAATCAGACTGGGCACTTTTCGTACATAGATATTTTAAAAGAATGGCGAAGAAATACCATCCGAAAGTCCATTGCATTTCGAAAAAACGCGTTACTATTAGATTGTAACATATGAGTTTCATCGTATTTTTGACTAATTAATTGGGAGTGATGGAATCCCGTTGTTGATACTAAAATTAGAACACAGGAACTATCACTTCAAACAATAAATACTTATTAAATACATTAATAACTGTTATAATCCATCAGCGGACAATACTATGCCGTTTAAAGTTCTACACTTCTATATCACAATTAATGCCAAGATATGGGCAAATCTATTTAACAAATCTCAAATAAGATGAAATACACAACTAGGATCCTAAAGTTAGCTTTTATTCAAAACATAATTGCTTTATATATCTCTTCATCTTGAATTGGATTTATCAAAGGAAACTTTTATCTTGATTATCATTTGAATAAACAGTGAAATATTCCCTGAACAATATCATCCTAACAAGATATCTTTTCGTAAAATTAAGGCATAAACAAATTTTTATGATCGTTCACTGGAAAGATTTCAACTTAAATATTGAATGACTAACAGACAAGCAAACATATTACATTTTATCATGAATTTAGTTAAGAATCAAATTATTGAAAATCTATGTGTCATCAAGACAATTGTTGAAATAAAGGTTTTATCTCAAAACGAAACTTTTCTCTTTGTTGTAATATCCACTGATACTTACACAATTGATTGATCACTGGGTGGTGATCAATGTTATGCTTGTGTAGTCCTTATTAGTGCAGATCGAATGCTATCGATCATGTTGCAATGTGGCCACCAGTCTAGGTGACTCAACACTGCGGGCACTATGTATTGAGATTTAGATGGTGGCTGGATGTAGTCAACAGGAAACCCTGAACCTGGGTTTCGTGCTACTTGGCACTCGTCAGCAAGGTGATCGGTCTCGTCCCGGATAGCTCAGTGGTAACGTCTCTGGATGTGAAGCTGGGTGACACGAGATCGAATCAGCCAGGGAGCACCAGTTCCCTCAATATTACAGGTACAGGTCTCCTGTTGACTACCTCCAACCACCATCTAAACTGATACTTACCTTAAACTTATGAAAGATTTTATTTCACAAATCATGTTCATATATGTCTTCATTGAAAGTTGATGTTGACTTAACACTGTAATGCAAGATATTGTAGTGCGAATGTATTGTTAATCGATATCAGAACTTACAACAAATATTAGACGCATAAGACAAAAGGATCACTTCAATGAAATTTAACTAGAAATGTACGTATTCACAATGATGAAGTCAATAGAAATGATTTACATTGACTCACTTTTTATTCTTACAATTAATAATAATGTATATTATACATTCTTAGTTATTAAAAGATAAAATGATTACCGTCATGACCTCAACAAACTCTCTCTCTCTCTCTCTCTCTATATATATATATATATATATATATATATATATATATATATATATATATATATATATATATATATATATAGATAGATAGATAGTAAGGAGGTTAATAGACTATTGATATAAAAGTGAAATTGCCAATATATATATATCAATAGTCTATTAACCTCCTTACTTTCATTTAAACTGTGGTGGTTCAATGAATAATGATACTATGAAGTATTATTATTATTATTGCTGTCGCTCTTTCAGGATTTCCTATTGTACCTAATAATTACAATTAAAGCTTAATTTAATAAACTATATTATGAATAGAAAATTTAATCTTATATTCTGTCATCCACACTTAACTATCTATTCATGGATTGATTTCAATCCTTATTATTGTCAATAAATAATATATTTTTAATATCCCAATGAATAGAAAAATTAGATTTTTAACGTTTCGTGACTCAGTATAAGCCACTTCTTCAGAGAATTTGATTTATTAATTTAGTCAGTCATTTATTATCTGAAGAAGTGGCTTATACAAAGTAACGAAACGCCAGAAAATCTAATTTTTCTACTCATTCGGATATTATAAATATATTGATTTATTTATAACAATCTACATAATGCTCAATTTTTTCGAAATTATCAAGTCAAACCATTGTAACGATACTTACAAACTTATTATTATTATTATTACAATATCCAATAAAAACTAATTGATTTCAATAACCTTCAGTTTAAACTTTCCTTTTCCCATCTGCCAAATAAAAAAACAAACTGAGATATCAACGAACTAATATTTAGAAATGAACACCGTTGGATACCACCTGACTCAATGGTTTAAAGGTGAAGCAATCTCTAGCAAGAAACTCAGAACGCTGAATCCGAATCTCATGAGGCGAGAACGTGGATGCACACTACTGAAGAATCCTGTAATAGAACGAAATGGCTATTCAATTCATGTCAAGTTTTTAATAATGGTCTAACATCAATCGTTTCATGATCTCAATCTAAAACGCAATCATCTCCACATATTTTCTTTTTTAAAATAAATGATTATTTTAGGAAATAATAATAATGATTACTTATTATGTCATATATTTATATAAGTAATTCTATTAAATAATACTGAAGAAAGTCATCCCAAAAATAATATAAGACAAGAGAAATAAGAGATAAGCAATAAATTCAATTTTGTACAATGAATATAAATAAACAAAATGGTTATTATTTAACAAGATTATTGTTTTTTAATTATTATTGTAGATTTTGCTTATATCACTGCTAATACTACTAATATATATATTTATATACTACTATTCATTCTGTAATTTGATTGTATATTTTGAATAATGAATAGAATAAAATGATTTCTAATAAAGAAATTAGAAATAAAATTAATCATTATCATCTGAAGTATTATTAAGTTCAGTAGATGATAATTCATTATTACTTTTAAGTGTATTATTCTCTGTTATTTGTCCAATTGATGTTGATATTGTTGTGAATACTGTATTCAATGAAGGTTTATTCCTTACTTCATTTGATTTAATAATAAGAGATGATGATGGTGATGATGATGATGAAGATAATGTTGAACACAAGTCCGTTGAGGTTGTTATTGCTGGTATTGTTGTTGTTGTCGTTGTCGTCGTCAATATTAATGGTGGCGGGGATGATGATGATGATGAAGATGAGGATGATGATGTTGATGTAGAATGTTTTTGATGACGTAACTTTCCACATATTACATGATTATCTTTAAATGATTTCATTAATTTCGATTGATTATTATCATTATAATTCAATTGTGTATGAACTCCGTTTATTGATTTATTACTAGATAATAAATGTGTTTCATTTGATATAGATTTAATTGGAGATTCTGATAAATTTTTACAAGTTACATTTTGAGGTGATAAAATTTCAGTACTATCATATTGATTATTCAGTGAACATTGTGATATACTATTACGTGGAATAGTTAAACAATTTGTATTAATTTTACCATTTAATAGATTATGAGTAGATTTATTTTCTGAATTATTATTATTATTCTCTGTTTGATCATAACGAGATAATTGATCATTAATTAATTGTGTTTTACCTAATATTGCAGTAATCTCTGAGTTAACAAATGACCATGGATATTTAGAACCAGGTAATACACATTTTTTACCACTAGGGCAATAAATTTCTAAATTTTTCAAATAATGATTCATATTTATATTTGTATTCGTTGAATGATTATTATTATTATTACTATGAACTTGATGTTCATTCATTATATTTTCTATATAAATTTTAGCACATTGAAAACAAAATCTATGTTCATTGTTAGCTGGACATTGAACAAAATGACTCCCTTCTAAATGACGTGGACATAAATTACATAATATTCGTTTATTTGGTGATTTTCTATGTTGTATTAATGGTTTCCATTTTTTATATGAATCTGTTAATAGATTTATATTATTATTATTAGTAGTAGTAGTATTAGTAGTAGTAGTAGTATCATTATTTTTAATTCCATTAAATTCATTATGTGATGATGTAATAGAACTATTATCAATTCGTTGTTGTTTATTACTTATATCATATAATTGATTATTGATAATTTTATCAGTAGTATAATTATATAATTTACGTTTTTTCGATATATTAAATTCATCTTCTATAATATCATTTGTAATATTTATTTGTTTTAATAAATTATTTGATAATAATTGTGTTATAATATTTGTATGTTTTTGTATAAATGGTTGTGATATTAATTGAATAATAAATAAAATTAAATCAATAAATGGTGCCCATATAATTTGATTCATATTATCTCTAGCTATTTCATATTCAAATTGATTAATAATAGTTAAATGAATTTCTTCATTATCATTAATTGAATTATTATAATTATCATGTATAGATTTGATATTGATTAATTTAATTAATTGTTGTAATCCATTACATATATTAGATGAACCAATAGGATATTCAAAATACATCATATTAATTAAATTATTTTGTTGTAAAGAATTATAATCTTTTAAATTAGTATTATAATGATTAAATCCTAAAAAATATGCTTGAATCATTGGTTGATTATGTAATCGTATTAAAATTGGTAATTTTAAATGTTGTGCAATTAATAAATGTGCTTGTATTAAATTAATATTTAATTTTGATAATTTTTCATTATTATTATTATTATTATTAATATTTTCATTAAATAATAATGAATCATTAATTATTGAATTCAGAAATTGTTCTGATATATTTAAATTATGATTAGAATATATTTTATATTGATCATTGAATTTATTGGTGTTATTCATTAATGAAATTTGATTATTTTCATTAGTTGAATTAGATTTTAATAAATTATTAATAATTTGTAAATATATTGTTAATAATTTAGTATTCCATGATGATTGTAATGTGAAATCAGAATTTAAATGATTTAATAAATCAATAGAATTATTAGTTAATTTCATTGTATTTAATGATGTGATTTCTTCTTCATTTATATTTGATGTATTCATTGTTGTATTAATATTTAATAATGATGATTGAATTAAATTATTTAATAAAATATCATTAGATGATGATATAAGATTACGTTTATTAGGATAATTAAATTTATATTGATTTTCTATTGAATGATCATTTATTGATTTAGAATGATCAATAGAATCATTAAAATAAATAATTGGTTTTGTATTTATATTATTAAATAATGATGAATTAGAATTTAATAATGATGAATATGTTGAATATTTTAATAGATTCATAAAAATCTCTTTTAAATGATTATCATAATTGGAAAGATTAGGTTGATTTTCATTTAATTGATTTAATAGATTATCATCTTGTATATTATTTGAAATTGTTGATGATGTTGAAGATGGTACTTCGGATCCAGTTTGGATCATACTATTATTATTATTACCTGTTATCATGTTTAAATCCTTATGAATTTCATCATTTATCTGATTATTATTATTATTATTTAAATAATGTGAATCAATAAATCGATTGATTTCAGGATGTTTATTTAATTGTGTTTTAAATAAATTATTTTTGTTTAAATCCAATGGAGATTTACTTTGTTCTATATTTAAATCATTAATAGAAGTATTATTACGTTCATCTATTGTTGTTGTTGTTGTTGTTGCTGTTGTTGTTATTGGTATATTCAATTGTGATTCATCTAATTTATCATTAATAATTTTTTGAGAATTAATACGTGGTAAATAATGCATTTTCATTAATTTAGCTCGATTAATAACACATTCTATTCGATCAGCTCCTTCATAATTTACACAACCACGACATACTGGTTCACTAAATTCTGTTAACATTGCCCATGGATAACGTGGTAAATCACAAAGATAACATTGTATACGTGTAGGACCATAATGATGCATTGTATTCAAGATTTCTGATTGTTTTACATTCATCATAACTGATGTATTATTAATTAATTCGATAAGAATATCATTGAATTAACAAAAAAAGATCTTTTGAAACTTGAATTAGTTATTTATTTTAAACACATAAAAATCACTAACCAATATGGATAGTAAACATAATCATGGAATCATTGAGAAAATGACTCGCTTATTTTTAATCTATTCAACATTAAATCATTTGTCACATCCTGATTGGTTAATCATTTTGTCCAATTGTTTATCAGCTTTCATGTTATATGAAATTAATTTTGTTTAGTTAGGAATCATAATTGTGATTAAACATTTTTTGTTCATTATTTGGATGAATTAAGTGGTATGATGAATATTAAACAATAGATCATTTATTTTAGATCATATCCCGACTGTTGTTGCTAACTTAATTTGGTGGTCGGGCTTGCCTATCATGATGAACCAATCGAGCTATACTGGCTGGAACAATCATTCCTGAAGCCTCATACCATGCCAGATAGGTCGGGTGAAGAACGGTATGACTAAAAGTAGCAAACCCAGAGTCAGAGTGTGAAGTCGCACTGCTGACTGTAGAGAGGTGTGACAGCAGTAAGATGTTTTCTTCAAACAGCTTGCATAACAGCGATGCTACCTTCCCATCTTGAAGGGTGTGGTTGGAAGGGGTCGGCCCTGAAAATGAGCACTCCGTCTTATCCCACGAATCTCTGTCTCCGGCGGTAAGGTTTCAACAAGTAAGGAGATAACACGAAAACTACTTACAAAAAAGTCGTGTGTGATCGATCTTAAGCAGTTGTTCCTTGGGCATTGCGGTCACGCTATCAGGTCACTAACATCACCTCTAACCCGGTTTCCTTTTCAGGTCCCTCCAGAAGAACCCTTCTATGGTGTGGGCAACCGGAATGTGATAACCGCCCTTATACCTGTAATAACATTCAAGACTGACTGACCTTATACGCAATCTTTCTTTTATATATTACTTCCATACAGACCTTCAATGTGATGCTAGAAATCATTATTTTCAGTGATGTGATGAACTTCATGATGCAAATTCAAGACTTTTTTTAGTTAACAGAGTATGAAGGTTTGTATATACTGTGATGATAAACTAATAATTATCACTTTTGTAAATTTACTATCGTTTATTTGTAGGCTATATATTATAAAACAGTAGATAACTATTGATTAAGTATTTTGCTATGTGGTCAGTAGGTTTGGTCTATCATTCATCAAACACCTGTATTCACAAAGTGTAAATCACCACAACTTCTAGTGTTACATAACCTTGACACAGTTAAAGTTCATTAGAATTATGTCACAAGTTCATGTAGAAGGGATGGAATATAGCTTGCATTGGAATCTATCACACAATTCAATGGCGATCTAGAGTTAGTAGCCATGTGAATAACGCGTTCAGGGTTCTAGAGTGAAAGCACTGAGTTAGAATCTCGTGGTTAGCATCAGTCATGTAATCAAACGACATCAAAAGTTGAGAAGAATTTTGTGTGGCAATGAAAATCGTTTTTGACACTGAAACAAAGAAAGATGAATAAATGTTTCCTTTTTAAACCTACAAATCATTGCTTCTGATGTCTGATAGTAATAGCCTTAGCAAAACTCAGAATATCAGAGTTTGACCGCTAATTGATCACCTTGGAAGATTGCGTAGTACTGACTTGATTTCCTGTGTCAAAGAAATATTTGGAGATTGCGTTATATAAAGTGTATCTCCCTCTTGACCGATAACTTTTTAGAATTTATTCAACAAACTTAAGACAATTCTTTCTTTCTGTACAAATAATGTAACTTCCTCAGTAGGTATATTTAAATATAATGGACACATTTGATGACAACATGAAAGAGGATACCAGTAGATCTGTGATTAAATTATTGAACTTGGCATTTTATGAAGTATTAGTAGATTGGCTGCAGTGTTCTAGGTGATACATTGTCTAGCTTTATACCAATTTTATTAAGTTTCTTAAATTTATATGCATATTTGTTATACTATGCTGTTGTGTTTTCCAAAAATACCTTCAACTGAATTCATTCATTTAAGTATTTCTAACTCATTTTGTAATTATAATATTTAACTTTTTCAGATTATGAGAGGATGAAGTGGATTTAATAAAAAATATAATCTGTTCATGATAATCCTACGTAGATAATTATCGGGTAGGTTTGAAGGTGAATGCCTTAACAGGATCTGTAAGTTCATTACGTAATTTAATAACATAAATCTTATTGGTAAGAGTAATAATTAATCAGAAATCAATTCCATTTAGCTAGTATTTACATAAAACACACTTAGTAATCAATGTAAAACGAATCTATAAAAATCAGTGTTTTAGGGCTGTTTCTTCCTTTTATTAGTAGAAAGTGCACATCTACTAGTCAACCGAAACATAATTACATCTACGTAGTTTCAAATAGTAAATGTTTTCATTCTTTATGAAATATTGCTGTAATCATGTTACATTTTCTCCGTTGAAATCACAAACTGATCTCAACCAGACCAGAGTTGCAAAACTGGAAGCACTGGACAGTTGTTTTGTTCTGTGTTCAAGTCCTGTGTGTCGGACCATAGATAGGTACTGCTAAGAAAACCCGTATCATCAAGAAATAGCTGTCTAGCGTTGCTATGTTTTTAATGATGGTCTAACTTAGATTCATTCACAAGTTCAAGAAACATAAAGGAATATCTAAATCTATCTAGATCTCCAGTTTTTGTTAATAATTTCTAAAGTAAATATTCGTAAAATTTTCGAACGATATTTTAAACTTTTTATAGAGACACGTAATGTGACAGGTAATCACTTCTTGTGTGTAAGATGTTCTACATAACTCTAGGCGTTACATCTGATATTTTCCACTAGCGAGTGCATGAAGCTAGACATTAACACCATTGAATGACAGCTCAGTGATATCAAGGTTAAGCGTTCACACGTAGAGCTGAAGGTTTCAATGTCGATCTCCATGTGAGGGTTGTGGATCTGCATTGCTGCGGAGTCCCATACCAGGACAAAACGACCGTCCAGTGCTTTCAGGTTTGTAATCGTGGTTTGGTTAAGATCAGTTTGTGATTTCGACTGTGAAAATGCTACAATCTCCTATATCAAATATAACAATATTTCGTTAGTTGATAACGAAACTTTGAAAAAACCTTCTTTTCATTAAACTCGAAATCATTTATTGACAAGTTTTAAATTGAAAGTCGTCTCTTTTTGTAAAAATTTGAGAAAGATTTTCTTTTCTTACTTAGATATCCTATTTATTCCATTAAGAATAAATGGTTTAGAATAGAAAGGATTTATTCAGCCGTTTGAATACAAATTTTATTTTGCTAGAAATAACGGTTACATTTTACTAAAAATGATTTGGAGGTGAAAAGAATACGAAGAGATAGGTGATAAACATAATAGGCGGTGAAATGAATGGCAGTCGTAGAAACATGCAATTCATTTTCATGAGCATTAAACACGCATATATATTGTATGCATTCAAACTGTTACAAAATATCATTCTTAAATTTTGATACAAAATGAAAAATTCATTATAAACTAGAAGTATGAGAGAGAGCAAAAGAATGAGATAGAGAGAAATCAAGGAAGAATTCCTCTTTAATATATAATTCTTCTTCACATTATATTACTATCATTCGTTTCTTCAGTTCAGATATATCATCAATGAGTTATGTAAATGAAAATATGATTTTCTACTGAACCATACCGCTGTTCTCTGTATTACTCTTTCTTTCCTTTACTCTCTCTCTCTTTAACTATCGGTACGAAGCACTTTCCTTTAGAATGAAATAAGAATATGCACGCAACATGTGATGATGTTTAGATTGACATGCACGCAAAGTTTAAACAAGAACGTTTTGAACATTATTGTTATTGTTTATATAATTTGGTGGGGATGGAAAGTTTGGAACAAAGAGTATAATCATTCTTCTGAAGAAGATGTAAAAGTTGAAACACGCATATACATACCATTTATATACATTTGACTGTAATCTATTTTTTCTGCATAAACATGCATACACACAACCACACTTCTATGAACATACAATGATTACCTTAGATAATCCAATTAAAAATGTTTAAATTCGAATATCCAGAGGAATCAAGGGGCGTGGCTGGTCATGACAAAGTTACAAATAATCTGAAAAAATGAATATAACCATTTATTCAACTGGATAGTTTGTAAAGCACGGCACGAAGATTTTCTAGCAAATGGAATGAATGCAAAAGTGTGTGTAGACTATAAATATAAACAAAGAAAGTATTGTGCTTGAAAGTCAACTGTGGTATCCAACTACAATCAACTACCGAATCCTAGATAGGATGAAACGAGCGTTCTGGATCCCAATACAAGCCATATCCCATCTTTAAATAATAGATATTGATCATGAAACTAAATCTACATTCGTGTAAGCTTCCACCTATGGTCTCCTTGTCGAACTGAAGTGAAATGTTTCCTTCTTATATATATATATATATATATATATATATATATATATATATATATATATATATATATATATATATATATATATAGATAGAGAGAGAGAGAGAGAGAGAGAGAAAGAGCAACCGGGATATGACGTTTATGTTAATTTTAAGGGGTTACTACTAACAAACGGGACTCGTACAAATATCTTTTTCATTTCTGAGCAAAGCTCACGTGAGACGCTTTTCACACCCCCACGTTTCTCAGTATAGTAGTTTACCTCTGCCTACACTTAAATATATTGCTCTATCAGATATCATCTTTTCTATCGCCCCTTCTCTAGGCACAATATTTGAGAGAGTATAGTATAAACATTGTCTGATTCTGACTTATTTAAGGTGTTGATGATCTTGGACCATAGGATGTCAACCAGAACTTCTCAGTCAACTCTCTCCTGGCCTCTCCTTTCTGGTTGTTTACGAGTGCTATTTGTTATGCATGATGTCACACAAGATCATACCTAGAATTTTCAGGCTTCATAAAGAGTTAATATCATCTTATAGAAACAA